TTGAATCTATGTCTTGAAAAATGAGTCTTACATTTATGTTTGATATAGAATTTTTTGCTTTATTTGGTGAAACTCTTAGTTCATTTGTATTATTACTTTATTTGTTGAGATAAAGAGGAACGAACAAGATTTTCAAGTTTTAAATGCAATACATATTTTCTACAGGAGATATTATTGTTGAGGCAGTGCATACGTTAAAAGAACTGGCTATAGTTCGTATCTCTTTGACTCTTGTTTTAACACTGAGAGATGGCAGAAAAAGCATGTGTAAAGCGCCTTCAGAAGGAATTTAGAGATCTTTGTAAAGTAAGTAGTTTTCCCCACCGTCCATATGTTCGTTGTTTGTCGTAACGGAAACTAACTTAGAGTTGCATGGTTAATGCCGACTGCCGAGGCACCAAGAAGATGCTGCGTATGAAATTTTGAATTCTGTATTCCACCATCGTCAACATGCAGACCTGATTTCTTTTTCCCTTGTTAACTGCACAAAGTTCAGTTTTTAGACTGTTAATCCTCAGCAGATTATTGTCAAAAAGAATGTACAAATGTGCCTGGAAGATTTTTTTGTTCTAGAGTGTATACATTTCTGCAGTTCTGTAGAGTACTGACTGTCAGTGGTTTACATTCCTAAATGACTGCTCTCTCCCTCTCTTTCAACATATAATATACTTTTAAGGTATATAATCGTTTACGACACAAGACCGGTACCTTTTCTTCTGATGTTTTATGGATATTCCAGTAATTCTTATGATTACTCTAATATTTCGAATAGAAACAAAATAATTGCCTAATGTTTGGCTCTCAACTACAGGTTTGAAACCTTAAACCCCTATGCCACCAGATACATACCAGCTCAACTTTCTTCTATGGAGCTTTGCCTGAAATACTTTTATAATATATTAATTCTATTCAGGCTTTAATTGTAGTCACTCAGTGATTTTTTAACTGGATTGTGGGTGAATGTTTATTTTATGCATCTGAAGGAACCTGTTTCCCATGTTGTGGCACGTCCTCTTCCAAATGACATCCTCGAGTGGCGTAAGTTACTTTCCCTGCTAGTGTTCTTCAAATGTATACGATAGTGCCGTGTGCCTTTTCATTACACCTTATCAATTTTCAAAATTTCTTTACATTGTCGAGATCAATCAATTAATCAAAAGTAGAACTTGAGAAGGATATTGAAAATCTTTTGTACATTTGCTATGTCCTGTTCATTTATGTCATATAAACAGTTTATTTGTGAGTGAGGCTTGTGCTTTTTGCTCTTACTTCTGCTTCCCTATCTGATTCTTTTCTCTTTTGCCCCATTTCCAAAATTGTTTTTCTTACATCAAATGCTACTATGGCAATACGTGCTTCACCATGATTAGATGTAGTAAAAACCTCAGCCCTTTGATCATTAGCAGGATTGTTAAATTGAATGAGGGAAATATTTGTTTTGAAGAGCTAATGTAATTCTTAAGTGGCTAGCCATATCTTGCAAATCTCCTTTTAAAGTTTTAAGAGGGCACTATTAGCATCTGATTTTCCATGAAACTTTATGGATTCTTCATGATTAGATCTTTCTGTCCGTCTTAGATTAAACTCCGATAAACTTGCAAAATATATTTTTTTTGCAGTCCTGCATCTTTCCTTGAGTCCCTAGAATCATTTACCTCTATAACTGACGGTTATTATCCAGTCTTTGTCTGGTTCATTCTTATTTATATGATTTATCTTCTAACATGATACCTTTTCTAATTTTATGATCAGATTATGTTTTGGAGGGAAGTGAAGGGACACCATTTGCAGGTTCTAGTTCTTACGTTTGTTCCCCTTGTTTTTTTTTTTTTTTTTTATAACCGTGGATGTCCGAGTCAATTTGCCAGCATGGCCGGGTACACACCTCAGTGGCCCTGAGGGGATTCGAACTTTGTTCCCCTTCTATCTGTAAAATATTTCTGGAACATTCATGTTCAGTTGTTTGTGTGTGTGTGTGTGTGTGTGTGAATGTGTGCGCATGCAAATTTTCTTCTGAGTTTTCTGAAGGCGTTTTTGTGTTCTGTTATATGATGATACTAACTTTTTGTCTTGTTTTGCATTGTTGATCACTCCAAACAATAAGGTGGATATTATTATGGAAAGATAAAGTTTCCTCCAGAATATCCATTCAAACCTCCAGGAATCAGGTAACTAGTCAAGTTTGCATTCAGAAACTCACTTCAACATTTTGAGCATTATTCCTGACGTGATTTGAGGCAGTAATGACTAGCTTTTCTGACGTTAATATTTCCTTGCCCTATAGTATGATTACTCCAAATGGCCGGTTCATGACACAGAAGAAAATTTGCCTGTCTATGAGTGACTGTAAGGGACTATAAGTTTACAGTGAAATATTATTCTCTCTGTGGTTATCTCTGAGATGTTTTTTAGTTCCTTCCACTTACATCATGTCACTTTCCAGACCATCCTGAAAGTTGGAACCCCATGTGGTCTGTCTCTAGGTAATGAGTTGTCAAGATTGTCTTTCTTCTTTCATAGCAGTTTCTAGTTTCTTGAGCTGACTTCACTTTATTTACATGCAGCATATTGAACGGACTCCTTTCATTCATGGTGAGTTCAAGGTGAATTGTTATAGATGCACCAACGCGGTTCTCAATTCATTTTGCCCATTTGTGTTTCCTTGCTTTACTCTCGTTCTCATTAAAAGTTTGCTTAGGCAGAAGTTCTGTCAACATGGGAGTATTCATTGAATGTTCAGATCTCATTATGCTCTAATGTGTTTCAGATGGACAGCAGTCCTACCACAGGCAGTGTGTCTACTACCGTAGAAGAGAAACAGAGATTTGCAAAGGCTTCTCTTGCTTTCAATTGTAAGAAGTGAGTCTTTTTCAAACTTGATCATCTTTCTGCCCTTTCTTCCTTCTTTTGGGTATGGGTTGTCCACATGGGATTATTGCCTTTTTGGTTTGAAAAGTAATTGCTTCTATCTATACATAAAAATGCAGAGCTGTTGTAAGTTGTTTGTTTTCTCAGCTTACTAAAATTGTCCCTGTTAGAAGTCTTTATTTCATGTTAATCGGATCCTCAGTTCTGTTATTTCTTATTGGACAATGTCCCTAGCACGTCTACAAGTTAGACTTGCAAAGGCTTCTCTTGCTTTCAATTATATGAAGCGAGTCTTTTTCAAACTTGATCATCTTTCTTCTCTTCCTTTTTTTGGGTATGGGCCACACGGGATTATTGCCTTTTTGGTTTGAAAAGTAATTGCTTCTATCTATTACATAAAAATGCAGAGCTGTTGTAAGTCGTTTGTTGTTTATTTTCTCGGCTTACTAAAATTGTCCCTGTTAGAAGTCTTTATTTCATGTTTAATCGAATCCTCAGTTCTGTTATTTCTTATTGAACAATGGCACGTCTACAACTTAGCAATTTCATTTTCTTGTTTGTCTTTGTATATCATGCTACATTCTAATATCTAGTGTTATGGGCTCAAATGTATTTGATAGCTCTTTTCCTTTTCAAACGTCAAGCACCGTTAAATAATGCCGCATAGTTACTCTACAAACAGGGAAAAGAAAAGTGCCAGTTGCTATCGGCCATATAGTTCTGTGTAAGCTATAATTGTTACACGGTTCCTAGACCATGTGGTAGTAGTATTCGACCGTATCAACAAGTTGGGACCCTTGTGGATACTGCCTATATTTACAACTTTGGGCAAAACATTACTCTCGAGAATGCCTTTTCAAGTTTTTGTAGCCTCACGTTTTTATTATTTCATAACAGCCCTACATTCAAGAAACTGTTTCCAGAATACTTGGACAAGTATGAAGAGCAGCTAGCAGCCGAGCAACCTATGCTTGAGCAGGACACATCTGCACCTACTCAAGACGGACTTTTAAACTCCTTGTTAGAGAAACAAGGAGCAAAGGCAGAGTTGAAAAAAATCGAAGCCCCAAAGATGTTAAATAACCGGAGGAAGCAGTCTTTTCCAGTTTGGTTGTTGCTGTTGCTGGTTTCCATTTTTGGTGTTGTAATGGCTCTGCCTCTACTTCAACTTTGATAGACGACGAGGGTAAATCGTAAAAGTGTGTGCGAGTGTGGACATGGGAGCATTTCAAACCTTGATTTGACTCTCGAGTAAATTGATGTCCTATAATTCTTATCTAACAGGGTTTGTATAGAGCTCATACAAACGATGGGCATCAATTTGATCTCTGTCTAATGTGGTTCACCGAACTGCTGCCAGTTGGTTTGCTAATCTTAAGATTAAGTGCTTATGTTGTCTTGAAAAATTGACATTTTGAAAACACCAAAAATGCATTTTGAAAATTTTGGCTCGATTACAATTGAAACCACTCAAAACGACAAATTTGTAGTTTTGGGTTTTCTTTGTAAATTTTTAACTTGTTTTTAAAAACACATTGTTCAAAATACGAAAGAGAACGCGTTTTCACAGTTTTGAAAAATCGAAAACGGAAAACGATTTGAAAATGATAAAGAGAATAGACCCTTAGCTTTCTGAATAGAGACTACTATTAGTTCGGACGATAGTTTATAAACTAGAAAGTGAATATTTATGATTGTCTTTATTGATTTAAAAGTTAGAAAAGAATAGGGCATAACAATGTAATATTGAGTATTAAACGGTTCCAAATACGCCAACTAAACATATCAAGTGAAATGCGTACATAAAAATGTCGCGACGTGCATTGATCTCAATATCTAACCGAATCAATAAAGAAAAAAAATAAACAGTAAAACATAAAAGAAGAAATTAAGAACCTCCAACAAGCATTCATTTCCAATTGGATGAAACGCTACCTCTTTTGTGCTTTTGTCACCCACTTTTGCACTAACGATTCTTATTTCCCTCGAAAAGGACTCTCCGAAATATGTATAGACTTAATTATATATTAATTAATAGGTTTCATTTCTTATAGTCTTTTCACATGCATATGTCTCTCCCTCTTTAATATCTTCACGATCGCAAATCTGCAAAGCTAAAGCAAAAGAGGGTAATGAAGGTCTTTGGAGTTTGTCGGAAGGTAAGCATATCAAATAATAGGAAAATCAGTCCTTGTACAAATATATTTGGGTCAGCCCATTCGGTCGGCCGTTGCACTACGGAGCGCACGTATTGTTTTGTTCACTCAATGGCTCTGAACTTTATTGCCACGCAACTCGACTCGAAAAGCCGAGTCATTATTGGGTACAAGTACAACATACTAATATGACTCTCCCTTTTTCCTGTTCCTAAAATTTTATTGGTTGGCATAAGACTAAGAGTGTCCTTTTTCTTGTTCTCAAATACGAAACCTTCCTTTTCTATGTAACATCATCTACCTAGCTGGCCTTTGCGTTTCCATATGAATAACACAAAATCATAAAGGACAGCAAATAGTAATTGCATCAATGAAATGATTATAAAAGCTCGTGTTATTTGCCTCTGCTGGTGCTGAAGTGAACAACACTCGTAAGGTAGCCATGAAAATGTTATCTTTCTGAATTTCCACTCGTCCTAGAAAGAACCAATGATGTTGGTTCTGAAATGCAGAATATTTTCCTTCATAAATTGGTTAACCTTTTTCCTTGAATTTCAGGCAAGAATGAAGACATCTACAATGAGCCGAAAATATGAAACTACGGATTACTGTGGTTATGAATTTGATTACCAAACACATGTTATCCAGGTAATTTTTTTGTTTTTCTCCGAATATTTAGATTTTCAAGTGGATATTCTCTAATATGTATTGATTATAATTGTTTTGATTTTTGACTTCAGTTCTTGGAAGAACCAAGAAAGAATGGATTCAATGGGAATTTTATTTCTGCACCTCTTGAAGAAGTTGGAAAGAAAAAATTAGACGAGGAGAAAAGGAACAAGAAATCCTGGAAAAGTTCCTTATTTTCCTGGTTGAGAACTGACAATAGAAATGGCACCACCATTTCTAAACTGGGACGATGCCGAACTGGAGGTGGCATTACTGGTGGACTCTGTGCCCCTAGGCTGACATTGGGACATCTCATCGGTCTTTTCAACTTAACAAAGCGAGTCAAGGATGAGGTGCTCTACATGTCTCTTGGCCAGCTTAATAATCCCCAAGATGTTCAGTCTTATGGACCTGTTTACTTGGTGAGTTAAGAGAATGTTGGTTGTGTTAAAAGTTAATAGAAAAGTCAGTTTTGTTAGTAAATAAGTGTAATTTTGCAAATCTTGTTTTGGCTTTATTTCTTGTTGTAAAACTATCAGGTTATGAAAAGAAAGCACAACTCATTACTGTCGGATAAAAATGTAGTTCCCAAGTTTGTAGCAAGTAAAGGAACCTCTGCTTGCCTATCTTATACAGGGTACCATATTTTGGATAGCCAAGCTATCCCGGCTATTCCAAATGTAGGATCTCATCCACGTTTTATTAGAGGATTGGGGTCTACATCAATTATAAGAACAGATGACGTTCAATAGTACTAAACGTAAACAACAAATTACTTACTGTCCAAACATAACGATTTTCAAAAGAATGTGACAACATAATCATGTTTCTTAAGGAAAGAAGTTGCCTGATCAATGGATATGTGAACAATAGGCATCCATCAAGTGCTCGTAATAGCTGCTGAATCGTTTTTTCAACATGCTTGAAATTATGGTTATGCCATTGCTTATCATCACTGAACAATCAAATGAAAGCAAGAAAAGAAATGAAGTTGGTATAATTCAACATATAAAAAAGCAAACTCAAAAACTTTACAAAGAAAATTTCTATAACAAATAAATTTCTTATAATTGTAACATCTTGCTAGTCATGATAGCTTTCAATGTTGACAAAATGGGGTGTAATTTCCCTAACACTCTTCTGTAAGAGAAAACGGAGCCCTCAAACAGAGAAACCAACTAGTTGTATACAAAATCATATGTTTTCTAAGTTGTATATGTTTTATCTCCACCAAGAACAAATAAACATAGAACAAATAAATATGTGAAGTGGGGGATATTAACATCCTTAGCTATCACGTTGAACTTGATGACCTTCGACTGCAGCATCACCCTCTCCTACCGAAACATTTGTGCAAAATTACATACAAGACATTGAATGGGGATATCAACTCTGACTGCTACTTTCTTGTACCATATCCGCATTTCTTGGACTCCAAGGGTTAAACTTTATATTACCACTTGAAAGCCTTTTCAACGACCTCAAACGCTAAGGGACAGACGATTTTTCATCTTCCTCTTCGTTAACTTGTCTTGGAATGTCAATCACAAGCATTCCGTCTGGCCTATTACTTGTCGATGCCAATGATGACGAGCTAGTGGGTTGAAATGGAGCAGCAGTTGCAATGCCTCGATGACTATCTTCTAAACAAGGTCCAAATGTACTGACTTGAGTCTCGTTACCCCAGAACAACACACTGGTGGTAAAATTTGGTGACTGGCCTGAATTTTCTTCAATTGGGGTTTGAATTATAGTCTCCTCAGGACTAGCCGGATTCGATGAAGATTCATTTTCAGTCCTAATAACGTCTCGACAAAGAGGACAAGTGGAATGAGATTGAAACCACATGTCAATGCAATCCATATGAAACCCATGCTTAAGGACTAGCCGGATTCGATGAAGAGTCATTTTCAGTCCTAATAACGTCTCGACAAAGAGGACAAGTGGAATGAGATTGCAACCACATGTCAACGCAATCCATATGAAACCCATGCTTGCATTTTGGCAAAAACCTGGTTTTTTCCCCTTGTGAGACCTCAGAAAGACACACTGCACATTCCAATCCATCCTCGAACTCATTGGGATAATATATTACTACAGGTATGATTTTGAGGGTAGTGGGATCAAGACCACGGCGCAAGGAAGTGGCGATCGTTACTTGGTGGCGCCGCCCTGTGGTGCTGTTCTCTCGACGGCGGTTCCAGAACCATTTGGCATAAAGGTGTGCGCAAAAGACACAGACTAAAACAAAGACGAAGACTGTTATAATCATCATTACCATCTTCCCTGTAACCTCAATCACACTTGTGTCGCCTATATTCCCACTCATATTCGGTGAATCGCTCATTTTATTTCTTGTGCGATTTTTACAGTGAATGACAAAAATATGAAATTTTTGTGCTTAGATGTTGGATTTGAACAAAATCCTGATCTTATAGACAAAACCCAGATGGGCTAACTCTGAATTTCACTGAAATTTTGAGTGAATTCCTTAACATTTATCATTTCTTGAAAATTTATGCAGAAACCACTTAGGATTTTTCTTATATAAAGCAGAAACTACAATGTGAGCTCTTCTGGTTATTTATATGGGCAGAAATTTCAATAAAATTTGAGAGGACTGGAAAGAGGCGTCAACGGGGAATGAGTTGCCAGGAAATTAAATAGACACGCGGGCGTTTGACTGGGTATACGGAGAAGAGTTCAAACCGAAACTAGTGTATATCATTAAATATATGGTTAATATTCCGGGGAATGAAGCAATAGCCATTCTAGTTTCACCATAAAGAATTTAAGATTGGGAATGAGAAATCAAACAGGACATGGAATGGGAGACGGTGGAGAAAAATCTAGAAGCTTTCTAGAATGGATAATATTAATGCTGAAATATCATTTTAGTTGACAATACAAGATATATTAAAGAGTAATGTTATATAATCTCAACGGTCACGACTTATTCAATAATTCAAGTGAATTAGGACAATTGTTCAATACAATCTAAAATTATAAGAAGAATACAATAACGAATACAATCCAAACAAGTGCGTACTACCGTACAATATATACACTCTTTGTTTTTTTCGAGAGAGTCATTACAGACTGTTATCCTAGCTCATCAGGTGCTAACTCTGCTCCCATCGGTGGTACTATTTATATGGGTCACTAGAACCCATTGCATTTAATTAGGTAAAAAAATATAACTTCGACTTATACTTAACCATTGGGTTAAATTAGATAGCATTACTTAATTGGAAAAGTTTATGAAAAAAAAAAATCAAAAAAAGTGTCAAACAATTCCCCGCGACAATGGTTGTGGAGAATCTAACCACTCTTTTCTTTTTTCTTTATGTTACATAAAAATATGCATGACCCGAGTTTGAATGTTCCAAGTCCAACGTGCTTGTATTTACAAGTTGTTTGAATTAAAACTCAAATGATTATATAAATTATGAAAAATGAGAAGTGATTAATCACTTCCCAAACATGCTGCACACAACTCACAACAATAGTTTTTCTAAGCTCGAATCGAGATTTTTTGAACATTTTAACAAGTACACTAGACAAGAATGCAAAAATTGAAAGAGAAATAGTTAAATCCACCAATGGCCACCCAATTTAATTTTATTTTACCATGGCCGCTCAACTTTATACTTTTAGTGTTATCATGGCCACCAAATTTGATTTTGTTTCATCATGACCATTCAACTTTAATATTTATTGTAAATAGTAAATATGACCATCCAATTCATATAACATTTCATCATGACCACTTAACTTTCTTTTAACTATTTTCACTAATTTTAAAAGGAATAAAATGACAACTCTGCATTATATATATATAAACAAAAAGAAATGTTTTTATTATTTTTTTAAATTTTTAAAATAAGTTTTTGTTTAATTATATATATATATATATATATATATATAATGCAAAATTACTGTTTTACCCATTTTAAAATTAATGAAAATGATGAAANTTTACCCATTTTAAAATTAATGAAAATGATGAAACGAAATTGGGTGATCATGGTGAAATCGTGACACTAAATATAGAGTTGAGTGGCCATTGTGACAGTAAATATAACGTTGAGTAGACTAGTAGCCGTGGTGAAACAAAATCAAATTCCTTGGTATGATGACACTAAATTTAAATTTGAATGACCATCAATGGATTTAACTCAAAGATCATAAAAATATCAAAAGTTTTTGATTTTACATAAATATATATCAGAACTTTTGGTATTATAAATTAGAGTTGGGCAAAATGTCCGAACCGAACAGAATCGAGCGGGTTTTCTTAACTTAAAAACCCGAAAAACCGAAAAATTTTGGTTCGATTCTCGATTCTAGACCTAGAACCGAATAAGAACCGAATTTTTTTTGAAGAATCAATTTATTTTATTTTTTCTAAACAAATTAACAATTTTTTGTTTTAACTATTTGATATATATATATATATATATATATTCCTTAACCTAACACGGGTTTAATTTTGGGCTAGTTTGTAGTTTTGTTTTTATTTCCTATTGGATTTAGTTTAGATTGTGTTTGATTTCAGTCTTGGGCTAGGCTTTAGTTGATATTTTAGCCATTCATGGTTGGGTTTAGGGTTTAGTTGCTAAGATCGAACTTCGTATTTGTATCTACTTCTTGTTATTAAGCCCTTGTTTGGCNTGGACGGCTAGTTATTTATATATTTTTGAATTGGACTACGTTAATTTGTAAAAATTACGAATGAAATGTTATTAGTTGTATTTATATTGTGTTGCTGTAAATATTAAAAAATTTAATTATAGTACGGAACCGAACCCGAACGGTTCCAAAATTATATTTGGAACCGACGGTTCCATTTACTAAAGAACCGAAAATTTCTGGAATCGGAAAAAATCGAACCGAACCGAACAGAACTGACCCGCGCCCACCCCTATTATAAAATCAGAAAAAGAAAGAAAAAAATAAAATAAAAGGAGAGAGTGAAATATCACATCGTTATCCAGCGGTGCCTTCTCTTTCTTTACTGCTCAGTAGCTTTGCTTCTGCACTGCAGTGCAATACCTGTATATCTCAACAATTCCACAGTCAAGAAGTTGGAGAGCAAGTACAGTGCGCAGCACCCTAAATTTGTTTCTGAAAAAAGTGTATTTTGGACTTCGATTGGATGAGCTTCCCATGCCTTTATTAGGTAATAACGATAGAGAAACGAAAATCAAGAAAAAAAATATCTTTGCCCCTAGATTGCTCAGTTTTTTCATCTTTTTTTTCCATGAAAAATAACAGGGATTTATTACATTTTATTTCTTGAGTGTGCCTTGTGCTGTTTAAGTTCTATTATGTGCAATATTGTTAATGCTAACTGATTAAGAACGCTGAAATTGAGTGTATTAGAGAAGATATTTAAGATAGTAAGCAAATTTGTAGGGATTTTGATGCTTATTTTTCTTGCAGATATTGCTACTGCACAGCCTTGTTCTTGTTTCCACGACAATGTGTTAGCGTTTAGGTCTCAGATTCATTTTAATAAAGTTATAATTGGAAATGCAAGGAGATTAGCTTCTTCTTTTTCTTGGAAGCCATTCCATATCCAGGAAAAGCCTAGAAGACAATTTGATTTGGGGAGAATTGAGGTATGGAGGGGTGGAGTGACGATAAAGGCAGTTGCTACCCTTGAATCAACAAGCAAGACACGGGAAAATGATTATCATAATGCTTTGAGGATTGATGTTGATTCAAGAAGCTCAAACAGCTGTATGGTTGAACGACAATCTTCAAGTGAAGACTTGATTGAAGTGGATGAGAGAGAGAAGCTGAGGCGGCTGAGGATTTCTAATGCAAATAAAGGGAACAGACCTTGGAACAAAGGAAGGAAGCACAGCCCGGGTAAAAAAAGCTTTTGGGATTTTGATTCTTTAAGATGTTTCGAGTACATTGCTGCTGAAGTTTTAACTGATGTGTTTGAATCGTGCAGAAACCCTTCAGCGCATTAGAGAGAACACAAGGCTTGCAATGCAGGATCCTAAGGTGATGTCACTTATGAAACTAAGAATTGTTTTAAACGAGAATCCCCAAAATTTGGGGATGATATTCGAAGCTGTCCATGCACTTCATACCTAGTAGATACAAAAACTTAATGTGGGGATGATATAGGTCAAATTCCATCAAGATAATTGGTTTGATCAAGCTTTCTTTGAGACATTGATTTATTTTCAACAGTTACCTTGTGATTGATTGCATTAGAGAACTTTTGGGCATGAACATTTCCTCTTCCAACAGCTATCCTGATCTTTCGTCTATCTAACTAGTGTCAGAAAATCTTTTTTTTTGAGATACTAATTCTTTTTATGGGCTTTTACTGGAATAACTTAAATGCATGAAGTCATAATTGATTTTAGTCATCAGTTTGAACTGTCATCAACTTAATATGATCATCTTATTTATTGAGGTTGCTAATTTTGTTGATAAGTTTTGCCTACGTAGGTCAAGATGAAGTTAGCTAACCTGGGACACGCTCAAAGGTTGGTTTTGTCTGGGTTCTATTTTAACTTTAAATTTGTAGTTCATTTCTTGCGTTGTTTACTTTGAATGGTGTTGTACTTTTGTTTAGGTAGACTAGATGAGTACTATTCCATTAATTGGAGGTTGCTATTATGATAAATATTGTATATTGACTACAACATAATTGGAATTTACTTGCATTGGAGACAATGATTCCCTAACAACAATTGGACAGTTTGATGGCTTCTGCTAATTTTGGAGCATGTTGTGTATGAAGAAGAAGAAGAAGAAGAAGAAGAAACAGATTGAGCCCCTGTTTGGCCCCCATTAAATTAAATTACATTACATTAAATTTTTCTCTCTCTTCGTTACAACCACACATTCATCAAATAAAATAATATTACACACAAATTTAAAACTTTTCATTACTTTTCCACCACACATTCTCCCATCAATCACTATTCCAAAAATTTTCAACTATCAAAAATGCCAAATAATGGGGGCCAAACAGGGGCTGAAGATTGTTCAAGCACAATGATGATAATAAGAGTTCTATATCAGTTTGTTGAAAAATGGATCTTTTCTGATTCTCAAATATAACTCTTCATCTCCACTTTACACCATGTATTTTACTTTGTCCACGCAGTCAAGAGACGAGAATGAAAATTGGAGTTAGTGTTCGACTTGGGTGGCAGAAACGCCGTGAGAACTTGATGCTGCAGGAGATCTGCTGCTATGAATGGAAAAATTTAATTGCAGAAGCTTCCAGAAGGGGACTTTTTGGCGAGGAACGATTGGAATGGAACTCGTACAAGATCTTAAGCAAACAGCTTGAGCAGGAGTGGTTGCTGAGCGTTGGAGAAAGGATAAAGGTGCCAAGACCGATGTGGAACAGGAGAGCACCGAAGTCTGCTGAGCAGAGGAGGAAGATTTCAGAAGCCATTTCTGCCAAATGGGCAGATCCTGTAAGAGCTAAATTACACTTCAAATTTTAGATTATGAGTTGACTATTCTTTCAGCAATTCTCCTAGTGGGATACCAGTCTGTTAAACTTTGCTGTTTATAAAACTAAGTAATAATCATCTAGTAAGCTCTAAGTTGAAGATGAGGTTTTTGTCGCTTGCTGCTATTGTGAATATGATTATCAATATAGTTATCTGAAAATTTTACAAGATTTGATTAACCAGCATTGTGAAGTTTTATCCTTTCTTCTTTCTTTTGGGTTGCTACAAGGAATACCGTAGTCGGGTTTGCACTGGTCTGTTTAAATTTCATGGCATACAAGATGGGTTTGAAAGGAAGCCGAAGAGGAAACTAAGTGAGGATGTGCTAACCAGGAAAAGAAGTCCCCCAAAAAAGAAGTATGATGAGACAGATAGCCTTGCAAAGAGCAAGCCGAAGAGCCCAGTTCAAGGAATTAGATCAAAGATAAATAATAACTCTTTGTACAAGGATCCCATGGCAAGTTCCAAGTTGGAGATCTTGAAGAATATTCGAGCACAGAGAGCCGCTGCTGAAAACAAAAAGAGCCAAACTGTAGGAAGAGCAAAGTAAGTTTTTATGTTACAGTAACATATTTTTTCCTTTAGATGGACACCTGGTGCGTATTCATTGTCACACAGTAAAGTTAAGCTTTGCTTTGCGTGTTTTAAGCTTGAACTTGTGAATTTTGTTGTAATATTCGAATCTGGAAGATGCATGCTTATATGGTGACATAATTTGTAGGGTATTGATTGCTGAAGCTAAGAAGGCCACTAAGGCCCTTGAAATCGCTGCCAAAAGTAGCCCTCTTGCTCAGGCTTCACTACTGGAAACTCAAATGCTTATTACTGAAGCAATTCAGTATATGGAATCCATCAAGAACAGAGATCTAGTTCCTTACGAATGGGACAGTGATCCTCTACCGATTTCAATCTATGCTGAAGAGGAAACTGATACAGAGATCACAAGTCTGAATCACATAGAGAAAAGTTACCTAAATGGAGTTCAAAGCTTTGCATCGACTAGTTTTGAAGGCTTGAATTTAAACAAGTTAGTCGTGCCGGATTTCTTAAATGGTAGTGCAGTGTCTTCAAATTCCTGTAACAATGATTTACTTGGAAGTTACAGAGATTTTCCCCCACCAGAGTTGGATAGTAGGAGTAACTCTTCACCAGATGCCATTGAGGAGAGTGGACAGAAGCCACTGTCAGATGGGCTAAAATTTCAATCTGAGAAAACTGAAACTCGGCCCGAACAAAAAACCATAACTAAAAAATGGCTTTGTGGGAGGCTGGTTGAGGTTGCAGAAGAACAATAGGTTAGTTCAAGTTCCTTAGCTATCAAGATTAGATTGTCATTCCTTTTGTAACTTTTAGATTGAGAAGTTATACAAATAATATTGTAACACCCCTGGTTTTTATTAAGCATGCTAATTTAGGAACGTGACATTCAAGATTTTGATCCTGAAGTTGCTAATGCATTGATTTTGGGGGTACTTACAAAAATACCCTTAAAATTAGGGATGTTTTGAAAAATCATGTGAAAGGTTTTTAGGAAGTAAAAAATATTGTGTAAAATGAAAAAAGTGACGCAATGTCACTTTTTGTTATAAAAATTGTCACTTTTTTACTTTTTTAAAAAAAGTGACACTAAAAAAAAGTGACAAAACTCAAAAAAAGTGACGCTAAAAAAGTGAGACAAACTCAAAAAAAGTGACAAATGACAAAATAGCATCATCCATTCGTGCAGCACCAGTAATCGTGTTCTTAAAATAATCAGCACGTTCAGAGATTTATAGAAAATTACAGAAAAAGTGACACAATGTCACTTTTTAAAAAAAAGTGACACAAACTCAAAAAAAGTGACACAAACCAAAAAAGTGACAAAACTAAGAATGTTTGTAAAACGGGAATCAAGGCTAGGCAATCAAAAAATCAATATATTCTGCATCAATTTTTGTGACTTTCTATCATTGTTTTTTGGATATTTATCACTTTATTGAATAGGTTCCAAATCTAAGTTTATATGTTAGTTAATAAATTTACTTTATTGAATATTTGTCACTTTTTTCACTTACTGTCACTTTGTTTGGGATAGAAAAGTGATAAAATGTCACTTTTTCATATTCCCAGTACAACAAACACCTTGGATGCATCAATTGAATTGAATCAAAGAATTATAAATTGAATGTAAGACTAAAACAAGGTTTGAATTCGTATATTTAAATTTTCAAAAACACACACTTCTATATCTAGTTAATTGCTCTAATAAGATACTGCGACTTTTTATGAAAAAAGTGACAAAATATCGCTTTTCATATTTTCATTTTTGCAAACACCTTGAATGCATCAACTGAATCCACGAGCAGCATCCCCAACTCACGGGCCACCGTTTCCACCATATCTACAATCTTAATTGTAAATCTCACCACCTTCAAGCACCCCAGTCATTACAACCTCTGAACAACAACAAGCATAACGAAAAATGCAATTAATAGTAAATAGTTTTCTTGATTTGTTTTTGTACATCAGTAAGAAAAAGAAGAAATGTAGAATTGTTAGGTCTTAGTTATTGGTTTTCGCTTCAACAAAATCATCAATCATTTCACCATACAAACATATAATACAATCAAAATATTAATTTAATTGCTTCATGATTTCTTGGCTTCTGGACCTATAAGAATTTTTTCATAGATTTTGCATGCAAGTATAGCCCAGATTTCACAAGGTTTTGCCAAAAAGAGAAAAGAATTCTAGAATATAATACAATGGAATATTTTGCAAACCTTAGGCACTGTCTAATAGTTCTAGCGGTGGCAATTGACGAAGTGGCAGCCGTAATTGTGGCAGCGGCGATTGGCGAGAAGGCTGAGTTTTGAGAGGCACAACGTATATAATACGATATTAATGTACAATTGTGTAGTAATCAATTTTTTCAATTAAAGAACGTAAGGAGCCTAATTTCCCCTTGATTTTGTTTGTGGTCCTTAAGCTAGAAGGGTCCAGTCTCTGTACTGCCGAGCTAGATAGTCCAAGCCCATTTATTATATTTTTCACCCAGCCCAATTAGTGTGAGTTTTAGTATATCAATATTGGGCTCAAAATGTAGCTATGTTCAAATGGTCCAATTTGGTTTCAAGAAAAAAGTGAATTTGGTCAGGTTAGGTACAGGGGATTAGCCCTCGTTTGGTCCTCTAGAACTCATTTTTTCTCAATTTATTTTCAATCATACATTTTATGGGATGCATAATTTTTAGCAATTTTTTAATCATATATTTAATTAATTTCTATCAAAATTTACAAAAAAATTAATTTTTAGCCAAACCAAGTCGTGCCTAAATTTGAAGCAGAGAAGTTGGCGGCAGCAACTCCAATGATTAATCTTCCCGATCAGCTGCTCCTATTGATCTCTTTCTTCAGATTAGCAGATGCACTTATCAACTTGCTTCATATTCTAATATGGGGGAAGTAGTGTCATCGGGATGCAATTAGGAATGTGTTTACGAGCCTGTACAATTTTGTCATTTTCTTAAATTTCTCCTTTTGAGGCCGTGGTCTATTCTCACTGTTATTAACTTATAATTGGTTTTTTAAAGAGGTCTAATGTTCTTCATGGAGTTAAACTCTGATCTTGATAATTATTTTTAGTATTTCTAGCTTGTTACAGAAGATTTTACTTGAAAGTCACTTATGATCTATCTGCTTAAATGCTGGTTATTTATATTATTCAGACCCGACACACTGGATCCAGCTCTGTTGCTTCCTGGGCGAGTAGATCGTAAAGTTGAGTTTGGACTGCCAGATCTTGAAAGTAGGACACATACATACAAGAACTATGAATTCTGAAAGGGACATCCAGTTTGAACTTCTGGCTTGGCTCTGCCCAAATTCTACTGGTACAAATTTAAAGAAAATAGGTCATTTGCATGCTTTGGGATTAACCAGGCAGTAGGTTTGCTTTGGAAATGTTGTCAATGATTGTTTGATGTTGAATTTTTTTAATTCAGGAGCCGACATAAGAAGTGCGTGCACAGCGGCAGGAATGGATGCTATTCGAGCAAGAAGACCGTCCCGGAGAAAGATTTTCTAGATGCTGTGAATAAAGTCATCAAGGGGTATCAGAAATTTAGTGCAACACCAAAGTATATGGTCTACAATTGATAATTGTTTGGAGTTGTGTTCAAATATCAATATTGTTGTGGTGTAAGATGCAACTGAGGATTACGGCGTGCTTCATTCTTTGCTGTTGAGATAATGCATCGAAAATTTGTGAAATTTTTTGCATTTGTAACGGTAATTTGTTCGAACAAAGACTGTTTCTGAGGTTTTTCAGTATTTTCTAAATTTATTCATATTCTTGCTATGGATTATAAAAATTGAAACGTTTTAGAAAGAATATCAAAATGTCCCCAGTATCAAATATCATTGCAGTTTAAAAACACAATCCAGTTTTCTGCAGAGGTTAAACTTTGTGTATCGAATACATTGAAAGGAAGGTGAAGAAACGAGCGGAAAAGATTATGGTACGGACAAATTTTACCATCTACTCGCGCTATTATACAAGGCAAACAACATCCCATTAAAAGCAAACAATGAAGTACTGATACTCCTGCTTTTGCTCTAGGGGATCTAATCATCTTGACTGTCACTTCGAGATGGGCCTTCATTCCCAAATGTTCTCTTGCTCATGTTTGCTCGCTGCACTAGACGAACCAACGCCTGGACCACCTCAGACATAGGTGGGCGGAACTCTGGCTCAGGCTGCCACAACAACCAATTGAATACAATCAGGATATGATCATAGTTCTATTGGAAGTAGGGAATTAATATGATGGTAGAAGAATCTTGAAATTCTGTTAATTTCCAATTAAAAATGGGACCTGAACACAGAGAGCAATCACATCAGCAAAACGAGATAAAGATTTGACTGGATAGAGCCCTTTCAGTGCCGGATCAACCATCTTAGACAGAGCATCAATGTCATGGAGTTGAGGCGTTGCCCATCGAACTAAAGATTGCTCAGCTCTTGGCCTCGAGCTGTGACAAAAAATAATACAAATGACATTGTTATACATGTACATCCAGCCCCAATTGTCATCGTAATTGATTATGGCGAGATGAAAATTGTCAAAATTCTGATCATACACAAAAATATACAAATACTTGGTTAAAATTGTGTTGGTCCTCTTGTATTTCCTCAAAAAATAGCATGCATTTCACAAGACTTGTCTTTTAGCCCTCGTTATATAGAATTCAAACTGTAATATAAGATGTAATACGAACTCTCAATCAATCGTGCTTCCTGCCTCTTCAAAAATCAATATTTATGCATTTAACCTATCAAATAAATTTGTGGTGTGATGGTTACGGAATCAATGGTGAATGTACTTTGTATAGAGATTTTTTTTTCCCTTCTTTCCTAAAGAGTAAATCAATTATTGAGTACATGAAATATTGACTCTTCAGACAGTGGACGGAGTTCGATCCTTAAAATTTTATTAATAATTTGAGAGGAATAGTTTATGAAATATTAATTGTATGATGAACTCTCGAGCAATTCATATACTGCTCTGAAAAGATTAAACATACCTATCAAATGGATTACGTCCGCTAAGAAGCTCCAACATCACAACTCCAAAACTATATACATCACTCTTTATGGTATATTGACCAGACATGGTGACCTCGGGTGCACTGTAGCCAGATGCCTGCAAAAGTTTCAAATCCCTAAGTAACTTGTGCCTAAGCCTTAATAGTAATAGTATTAAAAATACTAAAAAGTAACTTTTAAGCTTATCCAGCTTAAAATTTTCTTAACTTTTAGTTCAAAAAATTACTCTTTTGAAAGTTAGTTTTTACAAATACTTTTACTAATTTTCTTGCCTCAGCCAAACACTCTTTTTAAGACTTGAGAAACAGTAAAATTGCTTGTTGCAGAAAGTAGGTAATGACCCGCTTTCGAAAACATACAACTTTGAACTAAAAATTTACTTTTTTAGGCTTAGTCAAACATGATCGGTCTTAATTGCTAAATAAAACGCACTAATAAGTGAAGGCAAGGCAGCAACCCTCAAACCTCATTCCTAAGAAAGCTAATTGGATCTTCTTCAAATAATAAAAAATCGACTCTGACTTCGCTAGAATAATTCCATCTTGAAGAATGAACCAATTAATGCTGTCATAATTTAATTTTCGCCGTTCTCCTTGGAAAGGGAGACTGTCACTTGCAGACCACTGATCTTCCGAAACTGCTTGAGAAAGATATTAAAGAACATTGGAATATACCTGATCTGGTTCATGGACGAGGCTCGCTAAACCACAATCTGAAAGATGAGGATTGAGCTCCGTATCAAGTAAAATGTTAGCTGATTTGAAATTCTTGTGGATAACAGACGGTGAACAAACTTCATGTAGGTATCTACAAAGAAAATTTACTTGAGCAATAGGCCACTCGTGCGCTGAAGTAAAAGAGGGAATAAAAACATAAACTAGCATGCTTTTAGCTAAGTTTACAAGTAAATAAAAGTTATTACTAAGTAACATTTGCTTCCAAAAATGTTTGGATAAGATTTTTTCTTACTTCTACGGAAAAAAGGTACTTATTTTTGAACGTTTATCTTACCTTTTCAATTTTAATCAGTAAAAAATAATATTAATTTCTGAAAAGATAAGTAATCCTTCCAAGCTTAATTAAACATCCATTTGCACGTGACAGTTGATAACATTATAAAAAATATAGAGTATGACAATTATGAGGGCTAAATTTGTTCTACCACGTGCAATGCTCTCGACTATTATTCCATAAACTGCTACGTGAACTTACTCTAGTGCACGTGCAGTTCCTAATGCAATCTTGACACGGGTATTCCACGTTAATGGCTTGCTATCTTCATCTGAGAGATGAAGGAACTCATGCAGAGAACCATTTTTATGGAACTTGTAAACCAGCAAGAGTTGTCCATGCTCAGAACAATAGCCCACCAACTCGGTTACGTTTGGGTGATTCAACCGCGAAATCCCTGACACAATGTCCAAAAAGTCCTCATGATTGAGCAGAGTGGATGAATTAATTTTTTTCACGGCAAGAACCTGCATAGACAGCATGTTTAAAGCGGTAAATTCAATAGTCGAAATTCCTTGAGAAACATATATATACTACATTTATAATATAACGATAAAATATTACTCTACTTTCAAATCATATCATTTCTTCAGTTTAATGTCCACTGTGTTCAAACCAATAAGTATATCTATCATGAATTCTTATATATGAACCTACTTTAAACATCAAATATAAAATTTCCACCCAATATTTACATTTTTAGAACTGAACTACATGCGATTTGTGAGTTAAAATGATCACCTTTCCGTCATCAAATTGAGCACGATAAACACGCCCAATAGATCCTTCGCCAATAAGGTTTTCAATACTGAAGCTTTCTGTAGCTATCTGAAGATCTGCTACTGAATATGACTTAGCATTTATCAGGACCGTATTGATTTTCTTGGGGGGAACTATGGGCTTCGCCGAGACTTCATACTCATCAAATGATTTATGAAGATCAATAGGAGGAGGTTTGAGACATATCGTTGCAGGAGCTTCAAAGGTTTTTGAGCTGGCTGTGGATAAACTTTGAATGGACTTCATCTCTGCATACGATAGAAAAATGTTGCAGACAACGTGATAGGTAGATATCTGATTTATTTTTAAAAAATAAAAAAATAGGTTGATCGATTTTATACTCAATTACGATGATACCAGATCTTGTAAATTGAAGACTCTGTCATAGTGTTGAAATTTAAGGTTTCAAATTTACAGTATTCAGACCATGCATAAATAATGAAGTAGCGACTGTCTTGTCAGAGTGAAATATTACAAGCATGGTTGGTACACAATAGAGTCCTAATTAATAAAGTAGCAACTGCCTTGTGAGAGTGAAACATTACGAGCATTTCTGGTGCAGATTATATTTCAGGACTAGACGGTTCAGCATGGACAATATTTTTGCTTCTTTTGCCTTTTTAAAATTGTCTTACGTTGCATAGTCCACCTAGCAAACAAACCATACCAACATTTCTTTTATCTGTTAAACAGTCTAATTCTAGTGAAGAAAGTAATAAGCGACTGACAATGGGTTCAGACGTTGATTCGCTAAATAAGTAAATATCAATGAACAAATGTAAAGGATCTGCACCTTGCACTTCTTGCGAAGCAAGAGGAGCAAAAGGCTGATTTTCAGGCTTTTCAATATCCATGGATCGCTTTCTGGATCGTCTCTTCATAATGAAGAATGCTGCTATTGCTCCAACAACCAAAATAGATATAACAATTCCTACCACACCACCAGCACCTATACCAGATTTGCTTCCATCACCTCCCCCATCGGACGAGCCACTATTTCCTCCAGATTTGTGATGTCGGTTAGGCCGGCTGGCAGGAGGTGTCCCAGGTGGAGGTGGGGGAGCAGGCCCTGAGCTCCATGAATTACCACTCATCCTGTGACGTGAAATTCAGGAATTGAATTAAAAATTATTTGCATAGAGAACACCCCCCCCCCCCACACACACACACACAGCGCGCGCATATATACGAGCATTGTGATACTTACTGTAGATTTATGCCTTTTAACTGCTGCGGAATCCATCCATTAAAATGGTTATTTTCAACATTCCTAGAAGATAATTGGACGTGCATCAGCTCAGTAGCCAAATCAATTGTTGCTCGTGGTACTCTTTCACAGTAATAGTTTATATATGTGTATCAGTATGTACTTA